ATACTTTTACAACAATTTTGAATGAAATAACGAAATACAATGACACAATAAACTAATTCCTATGTGAGAATGATCATCGTCATAAACTAACTGATTTAATTTTGGTGTGAGTGTACATTAAAAGAATACCCGCATCCACACTCACACCCTTGACTTGCACATTAAAAATCCTTTTGGCAAGTGCAGGATGCGACTTGTTAACTTGCTGTATTATAATAGACAATTGTAGAAATCTCATTAAAAATAGAGTGGATATTTATTCTGGTTGAAACCCTCTCTTTTCCACATGCATCGTGAAAGTGATAAAATAGCAGCACAGCATTTCTTTCTTTTTTTACACACAAAGTACCATTACAAACCTAATCACTATACTGTCACACAGCTTTGAAGAAATAAAATTGCACATGTGATTCCGGTAGATATCGCATTGGAAAGTTTTCATATTCAGTAAAGAGCAGTATTTGAAAGTTTATGGAATTAATTGATTGTTAAAAGAGTCTCAATCAAAAACAAACAAGAAATAAAATTCTAATTTATTTTGATTAAATGAAGTCCTTATCAGACAAAGATTGTAGATGTTGCTGTCGTAATTCACGTGCGAGTAGATAATGAACATCCTTTTCTTCTATAAGACGAGAATAATGATGACAATAATTCAAATATTGGAGGAAGCGTGAATTCACTTGGGGTGGTCGTAATGTTATCAATTGTCTTAGACATCGAAAGCACGGCGATCCTTTGCAAAAGAAAAATGCTTTATATATCCAGACATAACTATGACACCATGGGCAACAATAAAAGATAATTCCAGTTCGTTGCGAGGAATTCTGTTTCACATTTGGTAATTGAGTCGTTGGTATACGATGAATGGTACTCTTGTGTGAATAAAATATATATAAGACTTCGTAATATGAAGAAAGTGGAGGATTTTCAGTTGGAAACGAGATCAAGTCTATATTTGCAACAGCCTCAAAATGAAATTTTGCTTCGTCGATTTTCTCCATTTCAGAATAAACTACAGCGATACCAGTATGAAACACTCCCATCTCTAGATGAATGTCTATCAAAAAATACGTCATCCAAAATGGGTATACATCTCTTTGCAACAGAAAATTGTTTTCGTCGTAAGTGATACAAGTTTCTGATAAGATATCTAAGTAGAATGTATCAAACCGACTCACATGATAATCAAACAATTTGAATATAGTATGAAGTTCTGTCTCCTCAGAAAAAAAAGAAAACAACTTCGAAAAATGTCTGATACATTTACTGTGGGAAGGCAGATAGAACTAAGGAAAAAAAAAGATTTTCCTATTGGATTGAGCTAATAAAGCGTGAATATCAGTCAATTCTGTTGTTCTTTTCTTTGAACTATTATTTTGCAAATTTTTCATTGAAATCTTGATTTAAAAAAATGAATCTCGGCTACTATTCGAAATTAATATTGTCGGCTCTATTCAGCCATGTCCAATCAAAAGAAATCAAATTGGCGCCTAACTTTCAGCAATATTATCCAATATTTTGAATAATGGTATCATTATTTGTGAATCCTAGCCGAGTATCAGGAAGGAGTTTTTGTGCTACAGTGAGACCACGTGTATAATAATCAAGAGCTTTATCTAGTTGTTTCTTTTCATAATACATTCGACCAAGATCGATATATATTTCGGCTATTAAACGATGTTCTTCCCCTAGACATTTTTTATAGTATAACAGCGCCTTTTCATAATCTGTTGAGGCATTTTTGTGATCACGCAAGGCTCGATCGGCATTTACAGATGAATGGTGAAATTTTGTGTACGTAGGATAATGCTCGTCCAAAACGTTTGAGAGCAACGTCAAAATGGGAGAGCTGATAGGACTGGTCGGAAGAGAATGCGGGAGATATTTCCCTCGAATATTGGAAAAATTTTGATTTTGCCCATCGAAGGCGATCGAGATTTTTTTTGCTCTGTTCATTTCTATGATGATCATTATCACGTAACTGTTCACAATTTGGGGGTTGCTTCCATCAAGAGTTGGCGTTTTCCACCAGACCTGAAACCAACGTAGCTTTACCTAACATATGGTAACATCTCGCATATTCAATGTCCTTTGGTGGAAATAATTTATATTCATTCAACATGTGACAATAAAGCTTTTCTGTTTCGTATGGCATTTCCATACCTAAGAGTAACACTCCAAAACTGTGAAATGTATCATCATCTGTTTCATTTACGTTTTGTCCATCTCCAAACTATGAGAAAAGTGTATTTAATTCAATATCTTCTTGATCGCACGCAGTCATTGATACAATCCATCGTCTATTAACATCCTGTTCAACATTTTCGATACAAAAGACTGAACCGAGCATGAACAGAATTTCATTTTCTTTTGTTCCAAACTGACTACTCTCAGCAATATCGACGGACGGTCGCAATCTTCTGTTATTCTCACTTGGAATCGCATCGATAATAAATATAACAAAAGCTACTTCTTCAGTATTGCTTTGAGCTTCTATGTTAGCATACATTTCGGCTATTCCTAAATCGATACTAGTCGATGAAAATGACTTCATACAAACAAGTTGGCCCACAGATTTTGCAAGTAATTTCGCTTCGACATTTGACATTCGTTGTCCTCTATAAACACGAACAGGAGAATTATACTGTCGTTTGATAAGTTGTTCATTCAATTCTCTGATAACGAAGCGACTGTGAAATAGCATTCCAACGTCATCTGCTCGTAAACTTTCATTCAGTATACGATAAAGAAAAGAATTTTTGGTGTACCATCTCAGAACTGCATCATCTGTGTAGATATCCTCTTGAAACTTACGTAGTTGTTCGATCATTTTTTCAAGCCAAAGTTTATTCCTTTCGAGCTCATACCTTTTCTGGAATACTCTAATGCATTGATCACAAAACTCCTCTCGATCAGGTGGTAGCGGTTTCATTCGAAGAAGAATATGAACGAATAGTTGAGAAAATAAGAAACCGCCATTGATAGTTGTTGCTAAACGATCCCCTCTATCACCATGTACCATGCTTAACGAAAACGAGTCACACGAATTTCGATGCCAACGCTGCTTGAATGCTTCTATATGTTTTACTAAATCATTTTGTTTGACGATAATAACCTTTAAACAGATATATTATTAATAGAAACCTTATCATTATATGAATCTATTTGACTAAAAGTGCAAATATTGTCAAGGCATATAGAACGACAAGGGCAAATTTTGCTGGGTGCGGGTGGTGATCTTCCTATCACCCTTATCTACACCCACAAGGTAAGGTCGAATCTTGAAGTAGAATTTTTGTCACCACTTAAATGAAATAATGTAAGAGACGATCAAAACTCACGTCGAACGAGGAGAAAAGAACTTCACACAATCCTAACAAAGGTATATATATCAGCCGAAATTATATAGACAATGGCTAAAATGTTGAATAATATGGAAACTTAAGGAAAGTAACGCGTAGTTGATGGAAAAACACTGAATTGGATCCTTATATAGACGATGAGATACTGATCAAAATTGTACTGTTACTGTTAACACACCACTTTTTTGCTAAGATATAAATTCTACGATACGCCTGAAACTTTTCCTTTCTGTCTCTTTTCTAGCTGCAGCTCACATCTTTGCAAAAGGTATTTTCAGTCTCAAACTGAAATTCTCAAACATGTGTCAGAAGTTTCATTTGGCAGGACCGTTACTTCTAATCAGGGATGGAAACAGGATAGAACAATGCGGTTGTCCTGGTGTCCTGTCCTGTTGCAGAACAGGAGAAAATTAAAGTTTTTGTCCTGTCCTGTCGCGTCGCGCGACAGGACAAATAAAGTCGAAGCGGCAGGACAGGACAGGATGTATTAGCTTGTCCTGTATTTTTATATGAAGCTTTTCTTAGATTATTTGTATAATACTTATCATAATCGGTTACATTTGACATATTGATTATCAGTTCTAGGTGTTAATATCAAAGTGGCAAATAATACTCGTATTACATTAGTCGAGAAATACTGTAAACCACGAGGGAGCATACAATACAGTGATAGAAAAATAAATAAAAGCAGATAAATAATAGTTATCAATAGTTATTCGTTCATTCGTGTTTAGTTGCTTTCTTTTTCAATTCTACGTTTTTTAATGATTTTCAGATTTCTAACGTTTTCAAAACAAGCTGATTTATAGATGTAGTTGAAATATCTGCAATACTTGAAGCTTCTCTCAATTCAGAAAAAAATATAGTTGTCAAAAACGAATCATCAACAATATTCTCATCTTGATGGGACGCATATGGATTTTCAGCTAAATTAGATGAAAATACTCAATATCAAAGTAGTTTGGGGTACATTAGCTGATTCAAGTTCTTTCAGACATTTATTAAGTTATTGAAAAACACTTATTGATCAGCTTGTACTAGTTTACTTTAGTCATAGCACTCTCACCCTCACGCAGTGTTACGTGTGTGCAAATCATATGTCTCATGTGTTTAAAGTAAACTAGTACTGATCAGTTTTTTTTTTGTTGCTCTTGATATAATTGCAATATGATACTATGACGACTATTATGAAACATTTACGCTTCTTGTTTTATAATGTAAATTTGTGTGATTAACTTTTCGTGTTTATTTTGTATTTATTCAGCTAAACATCGCTTAAGAATAGAATTATGATGTTTACAACTGTATGGAATAAATTGATCACAAGATGATTGAGATGTTTAATATACGCTTCACTTGATAGACAATTAAAGATGAAATGTTCGTCCTGCTTAATATCCTGTCCTGCCACTCGACAGGACGGAGATCGATTGCAGGACAGGGCAGGACAGGATAAAAAAACTTGTCCTGTTCTCATCTTTGCTTCTAATTCATGAAGTTCTTTCTTCAAATTTTTTACAACTTGATTTACTAAAAAGTAATTACCGTACTCAAGTAGCACAGAAATGGAACCGATCTGAATTAGTGAGACCAAACCGACCGATCTTTACACAGCTTGTTAGTGATCGTTCATTTTACTGAGTGGTTGTCAGAATCGCTTTCATCTCTAGAGTATCCTATGTGGCACAGTTAACTTTAAACAAAATTTCATTGTATACTTTCTATGAGTTACCGCTTAAACTAAGAAATATTTTGAATAAGTTCATATAGGAAGAGCAATTAAGCAAATACGACTGGCTGATTTATCGATAGACCGTTCGGTCTAAAACTAGTATCATTTTCGAAGCGATCGGTAATCGGTACAGATTCCATCCTTGAAGTAGCATTCTCCTCGCCTTCTGTAAGAGAACTATACGTGATCCATCTGTAAGATTGCGTTTATCTATGTAACGGGCAACTTTTAGACATGCGTAAGTTTGATACTTACCTTCTTATATTTGTCTAAGAATTGTGTTAGTTGTTCAGTAAGATTAACCTCAAAATCAGTCAGATAGACAAAAATACAGACCACGTGGCATAAGTGATGAACTTCAGGAAGCGTTCTATCAATAAGAGCTGCATGCATAATGAGGATGTTTTTTTTCGTGCTCGTTAAAACGCTTCGAAGTGCAATTGAACAATCGAGCGTATTGTCGAAAGTTAGAGGAAGTTCAACTTCATCTTGCAATTGCTTTTGTGTCTCTATTATGTTGGCTGTCAATTAAGTGCCTTCATTTGAACCGTCGCTCAAAATCCAAATTAAACGCAGCATTTATTTCTGCACTTTACTTTAGTTATTCATGTTACTTTAGACACTTTTGTAAGATTTACTTTCGCGACAAGTTGGAATGAAAAGAAATACCAACAACTTTTAGCTTGACTTATCACGGAACTAGTTCAAGAATGAAGTGAATCATTGTATGTCATAAATGATGTAAAGAAAACGGAGAACATTCTTCAGTGAAATAGCAGTGTAAAAAAGAAAAAGCATCGCAAGTAAGATTTTTTTTCTTTTTTTCCAACTTTCTATTGTGCGCAAAATGATTCATATCAATCAAATTTCAATTTCAATCTAGAGACAGCACACTTACAATTACAGTGAGATTATTTCAATGCGTCAATTTCTGCAGGAATATCAATTTTGATCTGACTACTCCAAACAATTCTACTATCTCGGACGCGTTATACTGATCCGACTTGGAATACACCCAGTATACATGACGAAATCGTGATTGTGAGTTATGTATGTGATAAAGTGCATATCTGAAACCGCAAAAGTTAAGATAGAAAAAACCTTAATTTAAATATATTTAGGTGAACTAGAGCATCATCTTCTATTCGAAAAAGTTTCTTCTGATGATCCCATTCTAGCCAGGATCAAAACTAGTGGCTATATCTATTCAGTAAGGTAACATTTTTCGAAAGATACATAAATGTTTATTGAAATAGAAAATAATTCCACGCGTATTTTTGTTTAATAAAATTGAAAATTAATGCGAGATACTTTCTGTAGAAGGATTTAGACTTCACCCTGTTCTTGTTTTCTTGTAGCTGGTTGTGCTTCTTAAGAAGGCGATTGAAAATCTTCTTATTTTTGATTGATTAATGCAGCAGGATTTAATATAATAATAGGTTCTTCCCTTGGATGTGGTTGTGTTAGTGTATTGACAATTTTGTCAATGAATAAGTTCTACATCTCGTAGAAACTTTACAATAGAAGAAAAAAGTTAATTGAGTATGAAAAAAAAACTTTTTTTTCCAAGGACAAGGGAATTATATCTTGTGCCATATTTTCATTCACCTATATACAAAAATGAATATTTAAAGGATAAATCTTTTTTTCTATTTTCTCTTACCACAATATTCTTCATTTACTTGATTAATAATAAACGATGACAAAAATATCAATACTATTAGAAAATTCATTCCGATGAATCTTATCGTTTTGTGGGAGAAAAGTAAAATCTGAAAACTTTATTTTTCTTCTTTATTAACTATTTATAGAGATATTAGAACAAATAAACAATAACGTAACTGATAAAATTCTTATCATTATTGTTTTTTATATTAACAAAAGATTATCACTTTCTATTTATAGTGCACAATCTTTATTTCATATCTTATTACATTACTTATTTAGAATCAGTAGCAAAATGTTTATTAAGTGAACAAATTCACAACTATAGAACTCATCTGATCACAATCATTCATATAATTTCCCACTATCACAGATTTAGATCAATATCTAAATTAAATTTCAGGCAAATTTGGTTTTTCTTCTTCTCGCTCACATTTGCTTCAATTTTGACCAGGCAAAAATTGTTTTCATTTTAACTTGATTATTTTTCATCATTTACTAACGATTCCATCTCTAGCAGACTGTGATATTCATTTTGACAATATTTTTTCTTTGATCTTCTTAACTATATAGACCATGAGAGAACAGCACCGAATTTTGCGCTCTTCCCATTTGATAATGTCACCACTCAGCCATTTTACTTGAAAACACTGGCAAATTTCACAACTTTCGGCTATCAGTTTGATTTTGGCGGAATACACTGGTGAACTGTAAAATTTCCGAGAATTATTTTGATTTTTGCTAGGAATCACTGGTGAACTCTACTTCGTCTGTGAAGAAGCTTGAATATTGCTGGAAAACATTAGTCAATTCTACATTTTACAATCCCAAAATAATTAAACTTCACAA